TACTTTTATTCTTATTTCATATTTTAAGCCCTAATTCAACAGATAAAGAATAATATAGTCTAAATTTGTTTCAATGTACTTAAATACAGTACGAAGTACCCGTTTTTGGTATAGACTATCGTAAGTTAAACTAAAGTTATTTTTGTTACCTACAAACCACACACATAGGTTTGCTATGAATAGATATTCTGTGAAACATGTTCAAAATTATATATAATCATCATACATGTAAATGGGATACCTACACTGTATTCTAACTTAACGTTTACCCATATCTAATGAATGTTCTATTAAAATTTGATTATGTCTTAGGTCAAACGAATATCTAAAGGGTAATGGGCGTACATTTTGTATAAAACCTACAATACCGAATACTCTAACAGAATATTTACGCGTTAGAATAATATCCATTGTTTTAACGTCAAATGTGATAAACGATTCACTATTAAAATATTCAGATTGAAGTATTGACATTAATGTAATGTCAGAGTAAATTAAATGACTTATTTAAGTCGAAATGTCGAATAATGTGTTTGCGAACACATCATCATTCACTGGTAATTGAGTTCTTATTAATGAGCCCTAGTGTTCAAATTAATCATTTTAATTATTTAGATCATAGCGTTTAATAGTTTGAGTGATAGTGCTATGGCCACTAATGTGAAACGTTTTCGTAAATATTAGTGCCTATATTGATGACCATATGGACACATACAAACGAGTATATAAGAGATACAAACGAGTTAATTTTCTAAGTAAATTTAATTAGTAAATACTCGTATGTACTTGTAGTTTATTTGCATGCCATAACGGCAAAATATGGAAAACTTTACTATAAATATTAACCACGTATTGTATTTTAACCCATATTTGCAACCGAAATAAATGATTCAATTCCATATTTTCAATATAAATATTTGCTTCATATAGTAAACTAATAACAATTTCTGGCTCAACTAATACATAGAGTACCCGTAGGACGACATTCCACTTGTACATAACTGATTTAACTGACACGTGTGTAACTCAATTATAGTCCACGTATGTACAATTAAAACTTTTATCCATGGCCATAATAGTTTCCGTTTAATTACTCCACAATTTTGTAACAATAATGGCCGATATAGTTTTACCTCAATCGGACGGTAATTTGTTAAAGTTCTTGTGTCGAGACAAAGATGGTGGCAGCAACTTCGAAGGATAAATGTTAGAACCTTTTTTATATAATTTACGACTTGTCTAGAAGCTTTATCAAAGTCTTTTTGGTCTAGTCTTACTAGTTGAATACACGGTTCGTGAGTGAAGTTTCTGGTTAATGTACCGCGTCGCCTGAAATATTTTACTTTAAATTGCACCATTCTAAAATGTAAGATCCTAAGTATTTACTATAGACAACGATAGCATATAATATGTACTCTATGTTCTATTATAAAATAGTACATGGATTTGGTCACTTGGTTTGACATACATAAATAAAAAATGATAAATGCCCAAGACGACGTAGGCATAGAATTAAAGTTTGAACAATAAACCTTGGGGTTTACAAACAATACAGTCTAAAATGGCATGCATTGATTTTATCAATTACTGAACAAACTTGAAATATAAAGTATTCAGTGAACATAATATTCTCCTTGTGTTTCCTTTGAGATTAAAGTAATTTAATGATCAAGTAGATTACTACAACCATGTTCTAATTACAGGTCGGGAATTACCCACCGGGCAAAATGTAGTGTCTGTAGCACCTATAGAAGTTCCCGATGGTAAGTGTTTTATCTGTAAATATCAGTTTTCAAGAGATAATACTTAATTTGTGACTTAACTTAGGTATTTTTCGAACAATAACCTTTCTTTTCATCGTAGATAACTATTACAAGGTTTACAAAAACAATGTTAAATTAATTCATGAATACATTATCACTTAGGTTTCCAGCAGCATTCAAGCAGAATCTAGTCAAAGATTTTATATTTAGAACGATATACTTTATAAAAGTTAATTTATACAGTCATTTTTGGATTGGAAAAGCTTGCGGCCTAAAATAGTATCATCCCAAATCAGTTATCCGCAAATACTTCTACTGAAATCTGCGTTAATCTAAATCATTGGACGATGTGCTTGACCTTTCATATTGAGTTAACTTGGAATCAAGTTTGATGGGGTCCCGCAATTAATTATCAAAATAAAACCATCGCGAAGAGAATAAGGGGAGATGTTCATTCGCTAACCAACCCCTTCATCCCCTTGAAATCAAGTCCCGTCGTGTTAGAGCGTTGTAAATTCATGCGAATTTTAAAGGGCGTTGTTAAGCAATTTGGGTCGCAATTTAAAATGATGCAAAAATAAAATATGTATTCTATTTAATGTGTTTTTGTATAGGTATATCATCTAAACAAGCACATTTAGATTTGGTATTGTATCAATATCGATACTATGACGCACACCGTGACTGAACAAACATCTTTTAACTTTTGTACTACTTTATTCTAAAAACAATAAAACAATTCCGACTGTAACTTCGAAGCTTGATGGCGAAAACAAAATTGTTTTCTTCTACTCAGTATCAGTTGTTTTGTGATGAGTCAAACGACATTATTAAGTTTCTCGGTCGCGGATAGATTTACAATTTAAATGTCTTGAACGTTGGTTCTTACAAGCAGCGTGTTGCTTTACAGTCTACATTGTAGAACCAGCTTAAGATCCGTGTTTGCAGCATCACAGCTTTACTAAATTAATGCTCGTTATCTTAATCCATTTGCGGATAAAATTAGTGGAAGGAAAATTTTAAAATATTTTTGCTTCCATTTTTTAAAACCTTTTGTACTTGAGCAGGGTTAAGTACACTGAGTTCTGCATTTTATGCTTAAACAGGTTTGTTAAGGATTAAGTGGCTCGTTAGACAAGCAAGATGCTTCTAATATTTATCGTTAGAAATATAATCACGCGTCAGTTTAATGCATTTGCTACTTGTCAACGTCTGCTTAGCTTTAAGTGCGAGTTTTACTGAGTTTAAAAGGTTTGTAAAATAATAAAAACTATGTAACGAAACACTAACGGTAAATAAGTAGAAAATTATTAGTAGTTACACGAAAAATTATAAAAAAATATATATTTTCAAAAGAAATTACGTTGATACTTATATATTGTACTCGGGTAGTGAACACACAGATTATAAATGTTAAAGTTAATACCAAGAGCTGGTCTCCAAGCGTGAACAACATTTGGGATTAGGAATGTAAGCCTGTTTGCTCATGTTCGAGTGATCGGAGCCTAACATGCCGTGAGGAAACCTATATCGGGAAGTTAGGCTTATATAACAAGATTTGACATTTGATGTTACGTTTCATATTACGGTTTACACCTACAGTCCTACACACTTGAAATATCTAACGCATTCTAGAATTTCTAGGTATCATTGATGATATGTGAAGGGTATGAAATGTTAGAGAAGCGTTTTGACTAGGATTCATTAAATCGTATTCGTTTAAAATCATCTGAATAAAATCTGATCAACGAGCTACGTGAACGCATTACAATTATTTTGTTGTATTATAATAAATTCGGAATCTGTGACCTTTTGCCGGGTTATCGCGCTTTAGACGGCTCTTGTAATTTTAGTGAGAAATTAGCAGGTTTGTTTGATATCCGTAACAGTCACATAAAATTGTAATTATTATTTAATGTGGACTTAAATAAAATTAATATTAATTAATACTAAATGAAAATATATACAACTTAAAATATAAACAACTATGAACTAAAATATTTACACAAACATAAAAATGCTATATTAAGGCATCAAAAAAAATGTTTCTTCATCGCTATCGTGAGGTAGGTAGGTAGGTAGGTGTATTGTTTTTAATAATTAATTTGTATTAATTATGTAAAAAAATACGTAACTTCATTTCACTTAATACGGATCAACATTACCTACTATTTCAAAATAATTAATTAATGTACTGAATGTAAATTTTAATTGTATCGGTGTACGTTATTCGCATTACCCTCAGATTTCATTCGGCCATTTTAATTGAAAGAACACTCGTAAATACCCCACAATTTAATCAAAATTGCATAAACAAAATCTGTGACCCAAAAACGAATGAGAGCTTTATGTTTAAAAAACTAATTTAAATACTTATCATGTATCGTAGCAAATAACATACTTTATCTTAAATCACAGGACCTTTTCGCGACCGCTCACTTTTTAGAGGTCGCTTTAGATTGATGTTTTTTAGCATTGTGCTTCTTATACATTATTTTGTCGGTGAAAGAGGGATACAGCGACAAACCGCTATTTGTCGTTGTTGGCCGAGTATAAATCACGCAACCCTACGGCTAGGGTCGCCATGTATTCGACCTATATGTAGTCCGGTATTTATGCCACTTATCTTGGCAAGCGAAGGAAGACAATGATATATGCATTCGTTGAAACCAGTTGTGGCGAATCAGCTTAATTACTCATTCAGTACACTTTTTTTCCAAGCGACTGTAATGAAAGTCAGAGTCGGTTTTCCTGGTTCACAACTTCTATTTTTGTGGAACTTAGCCGTTGGATAAATACAAAGTTAATCTGAAACTTTAATTTCTTTGAATTATTGCTGCAAACTTTTTACTTTATTATTTTAACATCACCGATCGATTTATTCTTCTGAATTTTAACTTACATAACTATTGGATCTTGGGTTACATATAATTACTTTTGACAATTTAGAATATCAATTCATATCGTGTTATTGTGTTTGCTGTACGTATTGTACGACTTTCATATAAAATTATGTAAAAAGCGTGACAATTCGAATGACAATGTCGTAAAAGTGTCCTCTATTTTCATCAAAACAATTTGGCCACCGGCCGACGCGACGCTCGCGTTGAAACGGCGGCAGACGCGCCGGCACCGCTCGTCATATTTGTGACTCTTTTTACTTCTCCTAAAAGTTTTACAACAAGTAAACATGTTTACTACTCATTACCACACTATTTATTGAGCTGTTCTTTTCAGAATCGATGTACCCAAGGTTTGCTGAGCCTATACCAAATGTGACGGTGACTGTCGGCCGGGACGCACTACTTGCGTGCGTTGTGGATAATCTAAGAGGATTCAAGGTAAATAGCTATACCTATATCACTATAATAATTCGTAGTAACATAGAGTTATTTACCATTCAATATTATATTTCAACCCCAGATGATATTTTTTATAGATACTTATTCAACATAGCAATACTTAGCCTTTGGCCTTAATTTTTAAACACTTCCAAAATAGTTAAAAATATATAAAATTTTAGACTTGTAAAAGGCAGATATTCTAACTTCGATATACTTGTAGGTAGCATGGGTGCGTATGGACACTCAGACAATTCTGAGCATCCACCACAACATAATAACCCAGAACGCGCGCATCAGTCTGTCGTACAACGACCACCGCTCGTGGTACCTGCACATCAAGAACGTGCAGGAGGTGGACCGCGGCTGGTACATGTGCCAGGTCAACACCGACCCCATGCGCTCCAGGAAGGGATACCTGCAGGTGGTGGGTGAGTGTGAGATATTCCTTCACCAGTGTGTTGTACAACGTTCCTCGTGGTATCTGCCATCAAGAATGTGAATGAATGCTCGTAAAAATATTACGAAAAAGCTAAGTAGCGGTGAAGAAACTCCATGAATTTTACATGATGGATTATGGGTCATATCCCAAGAGGCTAGAATCTACAGACTATGTAAAAAGGCCGATTGCGTAGCAAGATATGACCTCCATCAATTTTTGTGCAAAACATCCGGGCCCCGGGTCCCAGGTTTATAAAAATATTCGAACGCTTGCTTTTATAGAAATAACAAACTATAGGACTAATTTGACAGCATTTATTGTCGCTGTAACATAAATGAGACAGACGTCACTTTCATTCGCTAATAGACACAATGATATCATGCCGTGGATTAAAATAAAATTTGTATCAGCATTAACTTTTTCAATAAGAAAATTGATTAAAAGTTCATTTTACGATGACACCGCGTTATACAGGATGATTAGTAATACCGTCTTGTAGGTAAGCGTCAGTTGAGACACTTAATATACTTAGAATTTATTTGTTTACGCAGTGCCACCATCAATCATCGATAACATGACGTCAACGGATATGGTGGTTCGGGAAGGCTCTGACGTCACCTTGGTGTGTCGGGCTTCAGGGTACCCTGAACCTTATGTCATGTGGAGGCGAGAGGACGGACAAGACTTTAATTATAATGGAGAATCAGGTTAGGAAGGCTTTAATAACTAATTATCAATTTGGTTGTTGTTTGTTAGTATTTCTTGTCTATGTTGTACTTTCAATCGCTTCTCTAAAGGTGTTTATTAACTATTTCAATGTCAAAAACTGGTAATTTATTACTATTATGGTCTAAATAAAAGTAAATGATAAAAATATATGTTAAACGAAACTTCTAGATAATCTTTGAGGGAATTCGAAGATACTTATTTAGTCAATTGTGTGTAAGTACGTTACATGAATTAATTATGTGTTAAGTGTGAGTGGTAGGTAATTGCTTATAATATCTATTTTGCGGATAACCACAGTTCGTCTAATTATTTAAGTACGTAATGTGTGTTCTCTGGTTTCTTTAGGCAAAATCTAAGGAAATTAAAGATACTTGCATACATAGTTTGTGTTTTAAAACATAAACACAGCCTTTTCATAACTCGTGAGTTCATTTCAAAGTTCTAATTCAATGTTCTTGTGTAGCTAGTTTAGCCTTTCAAGCTTTGTGGGATCGTCTCCGTTGCCCCACGTTACACACGGAATTTCACTTTAACTTGAATTGAACTTAATGTACCAGATGTATCTACGTACCTAGTTCGCATGTTCGAGGTTTTGTGTTTCTAACAAGAATGTTAATAATGAAGCTACAAGAAAATATAGCAGCCTCAAATTAAGATTAAATTACCTTCAATTACCCCTAAACTTCCACAACATATGGAACAAAACTTTTCAAACTGTCATTTGAAACACATTAAAACGTTGAACATTTTAATTGTGGTAGAATCCATTGTTAATTTCCCTGTAGACTGTTGTTCGATAAAAATCATTTTCTGTCTTAATTGAATTTTTTGTTGTATGAAAAACAATCTCGAGTTTTTCTTTCAAACATTCCGAAAAACACGAAGCCTTTTTTTCTCAGAGCTGTGGTTGAAAGCACTTAATGTAAAATGGACTGTCCGTTTTGAAAGCAAATTGAAAATGAATTTCGCAATAATAGTGCTTGGTTTGAATATTATGATCCCTTTACATATTAATGTTTTGAACAGGACATAAATTTCGCCTAGTCTTAGTATTTGAGTCATTGAATCGTGATACATTTATATTGAAGCCAATATCCTTAATATTCATTTTTGTTCGCAGTTAGCGTAGTGGATGGAGAGACGTTGACAATAACAAAGGTGTCTCGGTTACACATGGGTGCTTACCTGTGCATAGCATCTAATGGGGTGCCACCATCGATTAGTAAACGGATCATGCTCATGGTTCAGTGTGAGTATTCGATATTCCCTGCTCTCAATACACACAAGTGACAGCACTTGTAATTGTAGTTGGCGTTGTACATACATAACTAAGCAGGTATAGGTGGCTGTCAATTTACTGAGAGTTAGTTATCATATTCTAGGAGATTATGTAGTACAGGCAATTTACCAAGCAATTAAATGTGTTAGGTATAATAATTGTTCATTTTAGGTCTGTGTACAAAGTCAATGTGACTCGTCTTTTATGTAAAGAAGCTGGTTTTGAGAACTTGTTTTTGATATAGCTCGTGTTTTCGGTTATTTGGTTAGTATTCGTAAATTAGATATATTCGGTTTTTTAATTATGTATGGCAATGTAACTCGAACAAGGGGTGTTCGATTCCATTCTTAGGTCAAGTAATGTATGATTTCGATTTGCGAATATTATGTTCAAACATCAAAATAAAAGACGAAATAGGTACGTATTTTTTTACAATATCTAAAGTCTAAAGCAACACTTTTCAAAGTTCAACTTGGTAATTGCATTAGCTATGTACAGTTGTACATATCAGAGAACTTTCGAACAATTCAAATTGTAATTGACAATAATTTGGACCGTTTAATAGAAGTCAAAGACAAAAGTAGGTTAGCACTATCCAAAGTTAAAGGAGATATTTCTGAACTAAAACTTGTTAATTAACTTGATGGAAGAGAAATTATTACAAATTATTGAAGACTTGGTCATAGTTCGAAGGTTATTAACATAATTAAATATTATAATTGGAGTATAATAACGCTTCATTGTGACGTTGAGCAAAATTAAATTATCTTAAAATTAAGGGAAACTAAGATTAAATGATGAAAATGTAATTTAATATTATTTTATAGAACACATTAAACCTGTAGCCACAGTGTTTGAAACAGTTGAAGAGATTCTGGAATCGATTTCAGTTCGATAAAATTTTGAAGTAAATAATAAATATAGGATACATATATTGTATTTTAGACTTCGAACAAAATAGGTAAAATGTATGTAGTTGTAATTGGCTTCTGGTAGACATTGCAGCGACGCCTAATGTAAAAAGTTTATTAAAAACGTTTGCGAAAAAGGTAGATAATTACTTAACCGCAAATCTAGGAATCTATTTAAGAATCAAAACCGTAGGTATTATTACTATTAAGAAAATTTCATAAACCGACAAAAGAAAACTTAAAATCTTCCAATTAACCCATTTTCCTCAAAGCTCCGAAGCCTCTTGAAAATACAAAGAGAAATCTATTTCATAAATGAAATTTCGCAAAATCTGTGTACGTAGATGTCCTAATAAGTGGATCTAGGGTTGGTTCACACCTGCAGACTAACAACGTAAATTGACAAGCGAACGAGTCTAGCCCTGTAGACACGATGGTTTGTCATCCGTGTTTTATTAGAGCTGTAATAGCTTGGGTGTCTCTACTCGTGTTTATTGATTTCCCACTTTGAATCGCTTCGGATATTCGATACTCTATCATTAGAGACCCGAATAAATCAGATTTACACATGTTAGATACACACAGTTTAAGTAAACTGGCCTTAATTAAACATGATTGTGTATTCATATTTAATATATCCACTTTCAGTAAATGGGGCAAAAGTACGTGATATCTTTTAAAAGATAATTCTGAAGTGAGTTGGTTATGTTGACGATGTCAATTGAAGCGTGCCTGCTCTATTATTAAACCACTCTATAAGCAGTTACACTGTTTTTGAACTGGTTATGTCATTTAAAACATCGATTTGTTTTTCAATTTCTATTTTTGGATGTGTCATTGTGTCGCGTGTAAGGTTCTTGTACCTGTGTTGACATATTTTTACTAATTTAATTTTTAACCATTTAAGTTTAGTCGTGATTCAGATAAGTATATCAGTTCTACGGAATGTGAAACATATCTACATAGGTGCTACGATGCCTGTGCATGATGATGAAGCACGAAATTTCATAAAAAAAACTTTTACATGAATGCCTTAATTTTTCGTAAATCACAGAAATGTTGAGTGCCAGTTAAAAAAATGCCGACTTTACTTTCAAGTTTGTACAAGTAATCGATTGTCTATGACTTGTATAGTTACCCGTGTATCATTTTAATATAACCTATCTAATCTTTAAAACAGTTCCACCAATGCTGTCAATACCGAATCAGCTGGAAGGTGCATACATTGGGCAGGACGTGACGTTGGAGTGCCACACGGAGGCGTACCCCTCCTCCATCAACTACTGGACCACTGACCGTGGAGACATGATTATTTCCGGTGAGCCCTGTACTCTATGAAAATTCAATCGTACTAAAAAAATGGACTTGATTGATTTTATTTGTGTTGATGTTGAATTAATTTCTTCAATTTTCTTGTTGTGGTCTTATCAATCGAAACAGATTTTATTAAATATCATATAACGTAGTTATGTTCATTATGTTGTGTTATATGTGTGAGTGTTTGTGGTGTATTACAATCAATGATGCACTGCAAAACCATTAATTTTTTATGGGATATAAACCGCCATCCGATAAACGAGCAGACGCATCACCTGATGGTAAGCAATATCAACGCCGGAACACCAGAGGCGTTACAAGTGCGTTTTCAGCCTTGTGGGAATTAGGAATTTGAGGATTGTTGGGGATTCAGAGATTAAGGAGGGGGTAATTGGCCTCCGGTAACCTTACACACACGAGACGACAAATTATAACGCAAGTATTGCTTTACGTCGGTTTGGTGAGGCCGTGTAAAAAATGGGTATCTTAGGTATGTAATACTTATTGCTATTTCCCATAATACAAAGTTTAGAAGCATTGATTATGGTAAATAGCAGAATGTAATAATTTGCAAACAGTGCTTTTGCTTCATAGTTTTGAGTTAAATAACAAAAGTTCTCAACCTAAACAGTATGAGTGCCCTATATTTTACTAACTGTAGTTTCAAACAACTTTTTTCATATCCTTATTTAAACAAACCACAGCTACTAACTAACATCCAATAAACGCCATATTATCGGAACTGGGAACAAAACACAAATACATACATTTATCATATTGGCATAAATAACATGCGTTCCCGTCAAGTAAGCCATCGTTCGATTGTATCATTGATTTATGACTTCATAATGAAAATAGTTTCCCTTGTATCGGAACATCGGAACCGGCGAACGAGGTGTACCTAGTCGAATACGTTCCGAATGTACTTATTCATGCGCGAATAGAGAATACTTGTATAATGAAATAGTTCACTATTTCCACTTCAGCTCAACTGCGCGATTGATAAATAAGTCGAATAACAACTTTGAATCAAAAACTGTTCGCAATTTTCTTTACGTTGCCGGTATCTCATACCTAAACTGATTCTGCAGCTACCGGTATTTTTGCATGGAATGGAGCATTTGTATTGACTCTGCAGTGGTTATTCGTCGAATATCAACTTTCTAGCATGAACGTTCTAGTTTTCGAGTAGAGCAACTTATTAAATAGGTTATTGGAGTTGATATCTTTGGAACTATTTTATGAACAGTTTATTGCGAATGCTAAAGTTCTTTATGGAAAATTCTTAGGAATTTCCTTTTATTTTTGAATCCAAAATACGAAGAAAGTTAATAATGTTTCGTTGCTTAATTGTTACGTAATGACACATACAGGTTTTATATTTAAGTAGAAATGGAAATTATAGGAGGCAAGTACGAAGCATTCCCGATGGACAGTGGCTACAACAAGTTCATGATGCTGAAGATCAAGAACATCACCAAGGAAGACTTTGGCTTCTACAAATGTATCGCGAAGAACTCACTGGGAGAAACAGACGGGATCATCAAACTTGATGGTAATTTTTTAACATTAGTAGATTGATTTAAAACGGCCCCCGTTCGAGAGAACGATTGAAAGCGCTGAAAGACTCGTAAAAACAAAAAACCTTTTTGCGATCTCAGGGAATTCGGAAGTGTGGGAAAATCACACAAAACTGCCTGTCAATTATTGGTAAAGCTTTTCTGGGGTAACCTTCAGAAACACTTGCACATTGTATTGAGTCTTCTTAGAGAGAAAAAATGATTGATATTTACTTTTTGATCCGAGACCTTTTAGGAAATCATTTCTTTAATAACGTTCTGGAAACGTAAAGAGGCATGTTCCAATAATTAAAATTGATATTTCTCTACGAGCCATTTATTGAAACTCAACTCACCGTTTACAAGAATCAATTTGTTACAGAGATACCGGCTCCTCCGTCGGCTTTTACGACGACACAGAAAACAGTGTTAGACAATCAAACAATTAGAAAGAAAGGTAATTTTCTAGTATTATGTAATTTTCTTCAATCAACAATGAGTAGTATATTGATATTCATATTTTAACAGGTTTGCCGCAAATCATCCAAAGTAGTGACGCAATTAGTTCCAACTTCCAAGGTGAAATGTACGGCGAACAACTAAGTGATTTCGGTAAATATTTTAACGATATTAATGACTCTAGAGTAGTTTTATCACTTAACTGTGAGACAGCCCCATGAAATGTTATACGAAGAAGCAGCTCTATGTCAGCCATACTGATAGGTAACATAAGAGATATAGTAAGATACGTATTTATGAAGCTCTTTGGTGTTTTAACTGATCACACTTTATTTTACTAACGTGCCAAAGTGTGATATGAAGCCTACAAAAAATAAATGTTAGTTCATTTCATTAATAAATTCCACAATTACTTATAGTGAATAAAAACAGCAATGAAAATTAAAACAACGTTAATTCGCTGCTAATTTTAAATGTTATTTTTCGTACTGAGTTAACAATATATCTTATGGTTATATAAGCTTAAGATCAAAATTGAACAAATGTTTTTCTTTTCCAGATGATGACCTAGAAAACTCAGCGAGTTTCCACCAAGTAAATTCAGTGTTAGGTTTCACTTTAATTTGTCAAGTAATAATCATAGCGAGGTATATTTTATTTTCTTGATATTTGTAATATTGTGATGATAAATGAATTTATTTTGTTGCTAGTTTTATTTTTGTTAATGTTTTCTTAAGCTGACCAGACAATAAATTGTTCGCATGTTAAATTCTACATACATTATTAAGTTCGTTGTCAAAAACCAGAATTAAGTTAGTTGTCAAATCGCTATTATTGCATTGTTATTTTTCTTTGATTAATAGAACTATCTTGTTTTAAGTACCTATATAACTAATTCCTAGTAATTTATAAAGATGAAAATTGTATCAATATGATTATTTGGAGAAGTACGTAATGTCAATTTAAAGGATGTCAATAAAATTCGGTAAAGTGTCGACTAAATAATTATTTTAGATACTATCAAACTGTATGATTCTATACTCATCTAGATGTTTAATAGTATCATTTTGCATACCTGTAGATATTTTATTTAGTCGCCACCTTACTGAATCGATTTACATTCCAATTATTTTACCTAAAAAATCTTTCAAATAATAATATTACTTTCCTATGTTCGCTTAGTTCGTACGAAAGATTTGTACACAAATTTTCTACTACATCGATTTTATAAAAATGCGCCTAGAACTAGACTTTTTAGAGATAAACCTATAACTGTCCAATTGAAAACTTGTAAGTAGGTGGTATGTTATTTCCGATAAACGATTTAGTCGACGTATACACTAACGAATTATTAATACGTAACCTACTGTGCTTTGGTAGTTAATAACTGGTCGATTTCTTTACCTTTCATAACGTAAGGCTTTTGATATTATTTTTACTATAAAAGTTGTATAGATTATTTGCCGTAATGTAAAATACAACTAGAGACGATAGGGACATAGGGAGTTTTTGTGATGATTTACATAATGCTACAAAATGAAAACTGCCAAATAAATGTGTAAAATATGGAAATAAAAGGAAGCTTATAACCTTGTTTTCATTATCTTTTCCCCAATACCCGGAAAGTATCATAACAATCTGACGTTGTATACAATGAAACAAGTTCGAAACTTCTGCATCTGTCTGACTACATCAATCGAGCAAGTGAAAACTATGAAAATTCGAGGAAGGCTTCCGAGTAATAATTCAGCGAGTCCGATGCCTTTGAATGGCGTGGCGGGCCGCTGCATACCTATAAATAGTAAAGTTTGTTTGTTTGTCAGGGACTCACAGACGGCGGAATTCCCATGACAAAAAATCAAACCACGTTCCCTTTCATGGACTGTACAACGTCCAACATGAATAAGGCTGGTTTTTGGAAACTAAAAAGGCGTATCGATGCGTGTTTCACTAGTTGGCGTTTTGCATGAAAAAAAAAGGATTAAAAACATCCACATGACGACGGAATAATTCCTGCTATGACCTACATTCGAGTCGACGTTCTAATTAAATAGTCAAGAGTAAGAAGTACGTAAGTTGTAAGTAGTTCCTATGAAACGAGGTTTACCACAACTTAGGTAAAGATCATTCTAGAGATCTCAACAGTGACAAGTGGTTCAGCCCTCGAGTACTGAGGCGACCCGCCACAGCTCCTTGAAACTTGTGATATATTAAAATATGTACTTAGAATTTCGCACGGAGAGGAGTTTCTTTGACATATTGAGTGAGTACATTAATTATAATATGAAGAATTTAAGACAAGCCGAGAAGTAACATGATTTCTATTAATTAAACTTCTGTTTTCGTTTCCTGGAACTTGATAAAATCTTCTCGAGTTAAAATCAACAAAAGTGTCAAAGCGAAAGAGCTTAAGTTAATTTAATATGATATAAATAAATGTTAGCTATCGATTCAGCAAACATCTTCAGAAATATTTTCAACAGAAGCGTCACAAGGAATTGTTAAAAGGAAAGATTTTTCTTTTGTTCAATCTGTCCGAACTGCTTCTAAAAGAGGAGACCATTACATCTTTATTTTTCGTTTTATTTTCAAACGACTTTTTACATCTGTAATGTGAGTTCGTATAGCCCGAGAACGAATAGCCATCAGTATTAATAAGTAAGGTGTAACAATCTGGTACACTGCCCCCTACATTCCGGAACAATCGATACCTTACTTAGTAATTTACTGCATTCGAGTTTCCACTCGTGAATTTCCAATCGAATTGGACAATAACGTGCATCTCGAAAGTGTTGTGCGATTGTTGGCAATTTTCTCCAGTTCCTTTGATTTGGTACAAAGGATGGAGTCGACTAGTCTCGTAAGATGAGAGTCAGTATTATTTGGTCAGAAATAAAAGTTTTATTTCGTTACGGTAACGTTTGTACGTCATAAAGCATAATTAAAGTCAGTGTTGACTAAGTTTGACTTTATTTAAACATAACTACCTACCTAAATATACATCTACATTGTACATACATTAAGAACAAGTTAGTAACAAGAATATTTTAATATTGGCCACATAATATGCAAGAATAAATGAGAAACTCTATAAATCTACAACAATCCTTATTTTAACTCAAAACTATCTAGTCTTTGTCAACACATTTTTTCTCAACACTATTATTTTCTTCTTCATCGTGGGTGCGTCTATAAACCTACAAGTTCACATACATTACCAAACAAATACCACCCACTTCTAGCTATATTCAGCCTAATTAAAATTACATAACTGGTATCGCAAAAATCCTAATAAATGAATAATTTTGTACATTAATATTATAATATATGTATCAAGGCTAATTTGTATATGACATAATTTGATCCTCAAGACCAGGGACTCGGATTAGTGCTCAAATCATGTTGATCGAAGATACCGTATTCTCATAGGAATATAGCAAGCTTGGTTGTATTTCGCAGAATCCCATAATATGTTTTGGCTGATTGATTTATATGTTTATAGGTAAAATTAACGTGTAGGATAGACTAGGAAATGTCTAACATTTATTGCTAGAAATGAGATCATGAATTCCGAAAAGAAAGCATCATGGAAATGTTTAATATTTGAAACTACGCATTTATTCTTAAGTGACATTTCTGAATACCTTTACATCTCGTTTGTGTCCTTGGCATTCTTACATGTTGTGGGCCTACTGAAAATTACAATTACAATGAATATTTTGTAGCTGATTTGATGATGAAAATTATAAGTAACGCTTTTTTTAAGGAGCCTCGTGCAATGCCTGTCATGGATCTCATGGAACCAATCGCTGTTAAGGTGATATAGACAGATAGTTCACTAGAATGAATATTCACCCTAGTGAATGTTTCATTTATCAGTAATTCCATGTTCAGACGATTTTAATGGAATGACAAAGAAATCAATGTTCATTCATTGTTTTAAAAAATATGTCATCGAGTGATGTCGTGCGTCTCGGAATGGCTTTAGTTTGTGATAATCTAATCAAATCCGAGTGAACATTCACTCTGTGTGCAGAGAGTTAATTTTTTGTTCATTCGGAGTGGGAGTGAATGATGCCGAATGCCAAAATCCAACATCGTTGGATCGGCTCATTAATGAATTCACTCTGCACACTTGGTTCATTCTCATGTTCAGACGTATCATTTTGAGTGAAAGATGCCGAATGAAAGACATAACTATACCGTCTGAGATACCACGGCCACGGATACCTAACAAGGCCGATGCCAATTCGGAGTCGCGGAGAACCTAACGGGTTACCGGAACTCTAGCTCGACGTGCAGGAGAAGTAACGGGGTGGTTTTAGTCAGTAAGAGTCTGACACTCCCTCCCGCCTCACCCAGGCGGGAGAAGTCATACGATGATTTTCCCCCCTTAAAAAATACCGTCTGATATAACCTTTATTTAGGTATCTAGTATATTAATTGATTAGATACAGCAAGTAAAATAAAACAAAACAAAACAATTAATAATAATATATTACCTTCATAAGTAAAAATATTCAATTCAATTAATTAAAAAATATCTATTATCCAACCATTTTATTAGCGCATTAAATTATAGATGTAAGACATGATTTATTAGGTAAGTAAAGTCAAATTACCAATAATGCGATTGCCTAGAATGGCGTCTTGGGTTCAATTTTTCGGTCAGACAATGCATTACAGTTTTTTATTATAATCTCCGTATTTTGTAATTACTAGCTTGTGCTCGCGACTTCGAACGCGCAATCCCGTCTTCTCCCGTTCCCGTAGGATTATCGGGATTTTTTTCTGTCATAAGAACCTTCTCCTGATAATAAACACAACTAAAAAAAATTAGCCAAATCGGTCTAGTCGTTCCCAAGTTATGGTGTGACAACGGGAAACGGGTTTCATTTTTATATACATAATATTCTAACACGTTTTGTAATATCCACCACGTGTCATAAGTAGATACATTTGAAAAATGGAGATAAGAAAAGATTGTACCTACGATATATTATCAATGCAAGTAAACCATGGAGGTTTATTACAGTAATGTCATTCCATTATCTAGTTAACTCTAAATAATCGTTTAGAGGATTTATTACCCCATTGTCTTCGGAAAACTACTTATAAAAGATAGTGAGCGGTCAAAACTAGTACCCAGTGCAATCTAATATTGCAGTGTTAGAAATCTGTTCTGAGCATTAGTGCAGTGAATACACGCTCTTATACTATTCTTATCTTTATTATTTATTTATCAATAGTAATAAAAATTATTAATATCCTTTCATGCTTATAAATAGCGGGTACTTTCATACATTATTCAATTAAGTAATAAGTGAGAATCGTGATTAGTTTGAAAGTCCTCAATTTAATTCAATCGTCAAATATGTTTATGGACGATAACTACGTGTTTGGTGATCAAAATGTACAAGTACCGGCCCATTTGAATTTTGGTAAATTCATTTTAGACCGTCTTCGTCTCCAAAAAGATGAAATTGCCCTGGTAAGTACAATTTTTTATTAAAAACGTAACTAATTAAATCATTACTTAAGCACTATTAGTGCATATTTTGGCTGTCTTCAATTACATGTTTGATTCAACTCCTAGGTACTATTTCTTAAAAGTATTAATTCTCTCAATTTCAATAGTTCGCTTTAAATTAGATATCAAATTTCCAATATAAGTAACAATTCTATCTTAAACGTCCAGGAACTCGGAGAAACACGTGAGAAACTAACATACAAGGAATTCACACAATATGCCGTCAATATGTCCACCGCTTTGACAAAGCTGGGGGTTGGGCGGGGCGACATTGTTGCAGTCGGATCCGAAAAACGCAATGAATTCGTTCCGACGGTCCTTGCAATCGTGTTCACCGGGGCGACGTACACCCCCTATGATTTAAAGAGCGGGAGAGGTGAGACAAAATATCTTACTTCCACCACATTCTTTAAACGCCTCATATATTTTATAGCGATTCCAGTTTGAAAAAATAGAGGGTTTGTTGATATATTACCTTTAGAGCTGTGCATGAGATAAGCTTTTAGTCGCTGAGTTTATATTTTAAGGTTTTCGCTGCATATCGAGTATAAAATTCATGAATCGTCAGGTTTTCACTACTATTTAATATAGTTAATCTGATTATTCGTGAATTAATGCACCAGTAAGCAGATCAAATAGTAAATTTTAATTTAATTTCAGCGGTATTAAAACACAAGATAAGTTTGACGAAGCCAAAATACTTTATTTGTTCGAAATTGTTCTGGAATACGTACAGTGACATATTGAGGAGTTTTGATTGCATAGAGAAGTTTGTTACATTGGACGAAGGTACGGAGTCAGTAATTTCTATCAGAACTTTGATCACGAATGATGCTGACGTAAGTAAGTTTGAGCCAGTGCAAGTTCAGGGACAGAGTGACATCGCCTTCATTTTGTATTCCTCGGGCACCACAGGGATGCCAAAAGGCGTACAACTGACACATTTAAATTGCATTCTCAACAGTCTGCCTGATGAGTAAGTACCAACATTGTTCGTTAACTTTTTTTGATTTTTCTTACGTAGTATTTATTGGTCATTCATTTCTGACACTACATGTTTTGGAATCTTTTGCTTCGAAAATACTTAAATAGTAGATTATTTTTTAAGGTGCAAATATTTTAGTTCATAGTTATTTATATTTTAAGTTGTACTTACCTATATATTTTCATTTAACTCGTCGAGTACCGTATTTATAGACACAATTAAAGAACAATAGGTTGCGGTCACCGGTGACCGCTTGGTGTTTGACAGTTTAATAATAGTTAATATTAATTTTATTTATGTCTATTGAATTAAATAATTATTCTTACTAAAAATAGTAGAAAATAAGTACCTACATGAGTGTGTTTCGATTTTGTAAATAAAATTTTATGTAATTTAATACGACGACCATTTTTCTGTTGAAGAATATTCTTGAGATCACAAAAAGAGATCTGAGACACAAAACCGTAATAATTTAGGTACCTACTAAAAAAAGAAGAAACGTGATATTTTATAAATGACAAACATTTTTACAAGAAACCAGCTTCAATTAGAAACAAGAATCCTACAAAAATATGACTCGCAGCAATTATATTATTTACGAGATATTTCCAATAAATATTTGCCCTAAATAATTGGTTGCCATATTAATCTAACGAGTAAATATCGTTTCAGCTTCACTGACGAATCTCTGAAGACTGCTTTCCTCTTTGGAGAATGGTATCATAACTATGACACATTTATGACATACAAATTTTTATATTTGGGAAGGAAAATTGTGTATGTCAACGAAGCTGAGCCTATTAGTTTCATTAAAAGTGTACATGATTGTGACGTAAGTATTTACCTAAAGTAAGATAATAATATTCATAATTTTTAGTTCTTATTGATAATAGACCCGATATAACCATGATAGATAAACATAAAGAATACACATACATTATTGACATAGTAGCCCTAACACACACAACCAAGAGAAAATAATAACCGAGAAAATACATAAATAAAATACCTACAGGTCTAAAAGAGGAAAAAATCATAATCAGGAAAATAGAAAGTTAAAAACCATCTCAGTTGTAGCACGGAGTTTGGAAATGTGCCCGGTATATGGCAATAGGCTCCCCCCCTATTACATGGGACACATAATATAAATAGTGAAAAGTGGGTGTTACTTCTGTGTGCACCTCTGCCTACCCCTTCGGGGATAAAAAGGCGTGATGTTATGTTATGGAATATGAACAGAGTATACATTGTGCTCTAGTGCTCTCTGGCACCGGTGTAATACCTACATCACTGGTTGGTGCGGTGTGGCTGGGCAACCGGTTGCCGCGCAACGTGTCGCGGGTTCGATTCTCGCATGGAACAACTCTTTGTGTGATCCACAAATGGTTGTTTCGGGTCAGGGTGTCATGTGTATGTGAACTTGTTTGTTTGTAAACGCACCCACGACCCAGGAGAAAATCCTAGTGTGAGGCAACGTTATATAAAGAAAAAATAAATAAATATTGAACCGAATCAATTAAATGAAACTCACTCTGCTTATGCCCGTGGTTTGTTTCATTAAATTACCGACATTTTAGTTCTTTTTGATTGACGTTGTCGAGAAGAGTGTTGAGAGTATGTAATATTCTGAAGCTATTATGTTTATTACTTATCATGTTAATTACTTATCTCTTTAGTCAATAGAAATTTATTCAAATCTTCCAAAAATAATGGTGAAAAATGAATGCTTAAAATAACTCAGAGTAGATACAAAAGGTCTATCATTATGAAAGCTTTAAAAGTAGAACGAATAATGTAGTGTTTTTCTCGTCGTACTATTGTAATTCTATATTTTTACAAATAACATAGACATCAAGTAGGTACATTGTATTACAAGAGATATATGAGAAATACTACAAGAATAAAAAATAGGTAGGTAAGTAGGTAGCTATTTTAGTATTAAGACGAGTATCTTTAATATATTTTTCAAAGGAAACGAGAGACGGTTTTCTAGTACCTACAAATAGTTCTAAGAATTTTACTACGGGTATAACCACTTAATACATGATCTTATTGTAAATTCTGAGCAATTACGATTTTACGAGACGAAGCCTCTTAACAGTTTTTAAATTGAAATCTTAATACATTCATTAGAAAAAATATTATTTTTACATTAGTATGAGAAAATATATCTTATTATACTATTATGTAAAGTTAAACAGTTTGTTGGTTTGTTTGTTTGTATGTTTGAACGCGCCAATCTCTGAAACTACGGTTTCGATTTTAAAATTCTTCTTGTGTTGTATAGTCCATTTATCGAGGAAGGCTATTAAACATCACGCAACAACCAATAGGAGCTAAGTAGATCGGGTCAAGACGCGCGGGAGTAGCTAGTACTTTATAAAATCATAGATTACTTCGACACACAAGCACTCTTTATACCGTCCTCCCACGGGAGTGAACAGAAACTACGAAGCGGTACACAGTACAATATTTACACACCTCGGTCGCTTCTTCCACATTCATGAATCTTTTCATAAAATGCGCGCCGCCACTGAATGCTACGCACCTGACCTTTTGAAGGGCACCGTTATAAATGATGAACTGAAATGACAAACCGCCCTCAAAACAAGAAAGGAGTTTTCACAAAATATTTTGATTGTGTGGGCGATTTTGTAAGTGGGTTTTCCGAAGCATCTTTCATGCTATTCTTGATTGATGACACTGCAAATAATGAGTAGGCATCCAATTTTGTTAAGTAAGTAGAGCAAGCACTGATATTCGAATTAAAGGCATCCTTATTACAATTTGTATTTACTTAAATGAAACTTGTCACGATAAAGTATGTCACTGTCACTTGAATTCATACAAATGAAAATAGGATTTATTACTAAACTTTAAAGGTCACAATACAATACTTAGCTTATATAAATAATCTTCACCTTTATATTTTCGTATCGTATCTGTGTATGAACAATGAACATAATATGAAACGTATAAATGTCTAGAAAAAGATTTCTTCCGCCCTCTACTTCCTATTGATGTAATGTCCGAGATTAAATCTTTTCTCTCTTTATATAATTTTGCAGGTTAACATCGCTTTTATAGTACCTTCTTTTGTTTGCTACTTATCAAAGGCGAAGGAAGCAGAAAAATATAATCTCGATTCACTCAAAATAATATACTCTCGATCATCGCCGCTTCACAACAAGACAATACAAAAGGTCAAAAGTAGGCGAGTATCGATTTATTTTATCGTTTCATTTGTGTAATCGATTTTCCGCCATCGTTATACAAATACCACTTTTATGGAAATATGAGAGTACACGCGCTGTTTCTGATTTTATATTTGCATTTATTTTGTACATCATTTTAAAGTAAGTATTCAGAATATTTACTTCTTTGTTTTGTTCGTACTTGAAACTGCTACCTACTTAATTAAAGTAGAATATGGTGCAGGTTGTACACGTGTAACAAATAATTAAATTATTTATAGAAATTTGTTACTCTAAGACAGTAAGTAGGTAAGTAGGTATAAGTTTTTAATATGACACATGCCGTGGGAAATTTAGTATTTGATTTTTTCTTTCACTAAGTGACGACCACACTGAAACTAACTACTTATAACAAATGTAACATAATTATAATTTTGTTTGTGTCATACCTAGTAAGTATATTTCATTGTATTACATTTGCAGGTTTCCGAAAGTTAAAAATATTCTACAAGGCTATGGTATGACGGAGGCTGGCGAGTTAACTTCGGAGAGCTGGGGAACAAAGGGACCCAAGTCTGGTAGCGTCGGCATGGCTTCCCCTGGAATAACTTTAAAGGTAAAAAAGACGTTTTTTAAGTTTTCCTACAGAAAACTCATTTTTCGCTTAAGAATTTTGATTGATTAGTTAATTATAGTTAATACACTGTAGTGATATTGATTCGATTAAGTATTTTTAATCTAAATCAAATTATAGGATTAATTAATTGTTATTTAAGTAAGTTGCTCACTATTTATCCACAATACACAATACTATGCTACAATTATTTAAGTTAAAAATGCTGATATTCAATTTATACCATCTGATAAAAGGAAGAATAATTTTACGTTGAATTTTTTTATGTTGACCATTTTTTTTTGTGGAGTGTCGGACTATTACTGACTAAAAACCACCCCGTTCCTACTCCTGCACTTCGAGCCGGAGCTCCGGCAACCCGGAGCCGCGGCTCCGTATCGGCATCAGCCTTGCTGGGCCCCATCTGTGGCTCTTTGAGGCGCGCGCGGAACACGACGCGCCGTACGCTCGGGCCCGGTTATGGTCCGTGTAAAACATATCATAACAAAGATAAAAGTTAAATAGGTACCTATAGCCGTATTTTCAATTCAGTTGGAAAAAATTTCAAAGGTTTGATTAGAATCAATAATTTTCTTTTTCACAGAGATTTTTGTACTGTATTAAATTAAAGTTGATTAAATATGACTTGTCAAGGAATATCGTATTAAAACAAAATCGTATTGAAGCTGTTTCTTAGAAAACGTAGGTAGAGAGCACGAAACGCCTACTTTTCACTATAGTATATTATATGTCAAGTAAAAGAAGGCGAACTTTCGTCAAAGATACTTAATTGTGAATTACGAATACATACTCCTACGGTGATTCTTCTGAGAATTTTAAATACTAAAAGTAAATCGAAATGTAACTGACCTCAAAACCGATGAAACCACTTTTATTATAGATACTTAAATTCTGAAATGGTTACTTCCATGTAATTTTGATAAAGAAACAAAGTGATTAATTTTAAACCAATTTTTTAAAACGTGATCTTTACTAGGATAAATAATCATTGTTCCCACATGCCTTTCAAGGTCACTGACCTCAAACTTCAGCAAAAAGAAATGTAGAAAAATAATTTCAGTATCACGAATAAATCGGCACACAAAGTTATGAAGTTTACAACTAATTAAAAGTCATGTCGTAAGTCTTCATAGCGACTGCTTTTCATATTAAGATATTCTATATGTTCACCAGGTCGTTGATCTCGAAACCCGTAAAACTGTGGGTCCCAACCAGCGCGGAGAAATATGTTTGAGGGGACCAGTTCTCATGAAAGGTTACATCGGCGTCCCGCCATCAAATTACTTAGAAGAAGACGGCTTCTTCAAAACCGGAGACTTGGGTTATTTTGACGAAGACAGGTATTTCTATATTGTTGAGAGATTGAAGGAGATCATTGTATACGACGGGTACAAGGTAAGCATCTCTAATGTCTTTCCGTGAAATATTATGCTTGTAAAGTAATTGTAAGCACTTAATCATGTGACAGTGATGAGAATAAGAAGTTTCACGACACAATAAGCCTTATACTTCAGATCGTACAAACAAAATGTGTAAATCAACACAAATTATATACTTTCTCGTGCCTTACTTACCTTTGAAGAAGTTTCTGAATTACAAAAAGAAAGCGTAAGTAAGTCATTCCGAAGAAACTTAGACATCACTAGCCGGAGTCCACAGAAAAAAGATATATATAAAACTCGTCTTATTCTAGCAATAGGCTTTGCGAGGTTTTTGTAGATAATATTAGCTCGCACTGGTACTGTCCACGAAATACGATCCACACCTTTTCATCTCGAGAAATCCTTTCTTGGTGGACTTACGTCTTATGAATAAGCCGACGTATTATCTACGCATTTCTAGATCCACGTCTTATTACGAATATATGAATTACTAACATTGTACTGTTCTTTTATATGTTTATCCTTTATTGCGTATTTTGGGATATAGTTATTTTATTGCTCTGTGTATTAAAAGAAACCAGGATCTGAGAGATTATTGTTTTCCATCAATATTTTTACTACCAATTCATAAGCCTTTTAGGTAGGCAGGTAATTGTTTTTAGACCAAATAACATGTAATGCGTATGTTTTACAGATGTTTATTTATGTTAATTCAGTAAAATATTGAACATTTTTTTAATAGAAGATTAACTATGTTGTATAAAGAGTGTATGAATAATAAGTATAAATAACTTTTTCTACGTAAACCTTAACGTTTTCTTCAGTCATAACATTGTTTGGTCTAAGACTACAAGTCTATTTTTGCTTTTGCTGTCAATTTGTATTACAGGTTGCTCCTTTAGAACTGGAAGCGATTCTACAGTTACACCCAGGAGTCCGCGAAGCTGGTGTAGTCGGTAAGCCAGTGAAGGTGTATGGAGAGGAGCCAACTGCTTTTGTGGTGAAACAACCTGGTGTCGATGTGACTGAGAAGGAGCTATTAGACTTCGTAGCTGAGGAGGTACGATATAATATGAGAATGTATTGACTCGAAAATTATTACCCATATTAGCTTTTTTCCGCGACTTCGTACGCGCGATCCCGTTTTCTCCCGTTCCAATAGGATTTTCAGGATTTTTTTTCTATCATAAGAACCTTCTCCTGACAATAACAAACACAGCCAAATCGGTCCAGTTATTCTCAAGTTATGGCGTGACAACGAGAAACGGGTTTCATTTTTATATATTTATATAGATACCTAACCAGTCGAATCTTCTGTATTCCTACTAGCATTATTAAGTATGATAACAACGAGAAAACAGGTTGTGGATATTATAGATAATGTTATATTAATATTATATTAGAGTTTTTATTTCCACGAAACATGTCTCGCTTTTTGTATCACAGTCTAGTAGAAATGGCTCAAGTTCTGCAAGATAAGGTTATGCGATAGTAGTTTTAGTTTAGTAAACCGTTATGGAAACTAGATCCTTTGTTGACAATAATAAGAAAATGTAAAATTAAATTAAGCCAAAGATCTGATAATCCCGTAATTCGTGGAACGGCGCCAGAATTTGAAATCAAAACCTTCTTGTTCCAAATTTTATCGAAACGTCCACTGCTTTGCATAAAACAACTATTTGTATTTGTTTGCCTATCTGTGTAACAACGTAACCGACATTTAGTTACAGATTACTTCTAAATACAAGAAAAAACGTAATGGTGAAAACCTCTTATAAAATTAACTAACCACTCTAACAAAGTACAATTAACATTAGTACAAATTAAGTAAATGAAAATGCTCATTGACTCAATCAAGTCGTTTAATTTTTCAGGTGCCACCGTTTATGCAATTAAGAGGAGGTGTTAGGTTCATTGAAGAAATGCCGAGAAATCCCAGGGGCAAGATTATACGCCAACGGTTGAGGGAAATGCTGAAATGAATTGCTAACCTTTATAACGTATGTGTGTACCAAACTAAATAAAGAAAATTAACTACAAGTGGACGTTTCAATTTACTAAGTAAAGCTATTCAAGCTATTTCAATATCATACAACTTGTATCACAAATAAATATTGTGTACGTCGACCTATTTGCATTTCCAAGATCTCATACAATTCTGATTCTAGTCAAATATTATGTAGAATATGTAAAAGCAAAGACTATTTACTAAACTAAACAAGAGAACCAAGATTCGCCTTACGTACCTATGTGTACCTATCTCGTGTTGGAAGGATTGTACGAGCGACATAACCTGCAGTAATTTCTCCATCTTACATTGTTCAGAAGTTATCAACACAGAACCATCATTAATTAAGTTTAACTACCCGGAGTGCTGACAAAGCGCAGGCAAGCGCCGCTACTCAAGGAACTAAGGAAGTACAACACTCGTATTGTTTTTGACCTTTTTCTTTTCTTCGAATGGATGTCTGCGTCGGCCTCGTGAGTCATTATTATATCATCAAGCTACTATTGAGAGTCGAAACAAAAAACATCGCGCAAACGGAGCTCGGCTGAAAGCTTTGTGCTGCGTAATATAATTCTACTTCGTATTCCTGTCTTATCTTCAGCGACGTCTTTATTAATTCAGTATGATTTGGATTATCATAATTCCTTACCTTTTGCCTAAAATTACTTTGTAATAGGACAAACACTTGGCATAAATAGCTTTTTGAATTTCCAAATTAAACTTTACATTTATTGTGTGGTATTGGAAATATTTGATAGTTTATTAGGAATTTAAATTCACTGAAATTGTGTTACATAAAAGTTAAGGAATACCTGAGTATATCTTATCTTCTAATATAATTTCGAGCTACGAAATGTATTACAATTTAAGTCCGTATGCTAATGAAGAACGTTCCCGTGGTGTCATTTGCATTGACATTTTTTAAAATGAAACTCTTTTACCATTTAAATTGACTGGTTTTACCTCGGAGCAATTTAGCCCGCCCTAGCCTCTTCCCGGGAATGGTCCCTGCGGCCTGTAATAGGTTTCTTAAAAGAAAATCGAGTTAAACAGGCGTGATTGACTTAATTGTGGAATAGCTTTATTTCCCGAGATTAAAGAATTATTTCAGAGAAAACTAACTAGATTACATTTGGAAAATCTCGGCTACAGTTGATGTCGACGTGTTAAACTTATTTCTCTATATCCCATTTTATTTCTAAGAAGAAAATATATCTGCGAATTTTATTCTAGTAAGTGAAGAAAGTTTAACAAATTGTCTGAGAGGAGCAAAGTAGGAAAGTAAATAAAGATTAAAAACAAAGAGCTGAATATCTATCATAGTGTTTGTTTAAAAGGCGATATATTCTACAAATCCAGTGATATTTTTCCACGCCGCCGAATTTATGCTCGCTGAGCGTAAAATAGACGAGGAACTCTTCATTAATGTTTGCCACTTCGAAAATTGAATCGTTTAATCGCAGCGGGCGGAGTGAGAGGGAACGCATTGGCTGGGTGAGCGTAATTGCGTCAGAGTACCTTTGATACTGAGTGGAAATAGAGCAATTAAGTCTCTCGAGTTGGAGAGTTTACCTTGATTTTTTTAATACTCTCCCTTTTGTGTACACGTGGTTTAGAAGTTAGTAAACATATCACGCGATTGGGAACTCAATTGAGCATGACGTAAACAAACAACACGACTTCAGAACATTTTTTTTATATTTGATGGGCCGACGTTTGACCACTATCTCACCTAGTGGTAAGTGATGATGCACACACCCCGTACTTTTAGAATACCCTATGAAAAAAAATGTATGTAAATTATATTATTGAAACAAAAAACATACAGATATACTGTTTTATTAAACGCTCTTATACACGACAAAGTTGAACGATAAACAAGACAAAGCCGAGCTTGATAATGCAGCCTCCAGGGTACGCAATTTATTGAAAAGAGGCGTACAAGTATACAAAGCGTGTGTTCACTACCAGCTGATACAATAATGTCTACGTATAATGCACTACGTTACAATAGAATTACTTTAAACTCATAGTTAAGACTAGAAAAGATGAAGAACACACTTTATCTACAAAGTAAAAGCTAAGTTGTTGTGGGAAACTAGGAAATGTATGAAAAATTCATGAATTTACAGGAGTTTAAATAGAAATCTGTGAACTTAATGAAAACATGCTTCTGTTTGCTTCTGTTAGTACATGGTGTATGTACATTGTTGTATATTATTTTCGCGAGTAAATAATTCAAGTTTAAAGTTTGGGAGAGTCATGCTTCGGCACGAACGGGCCGGCTCGACCGGAGTGATACCACCACGGCCTCACAGAAAACCGACGTGAAATAACGCTTGCGTTGTGTTTCGTCGGGTGAGTGAGGTTACCGGAGGCCCAATTATTCAACTTCTGTTATACCTAATCTATATTTATAAACTCATATTATTATTATGTTTTGATAGTATATGAAATGTTTGTTTATTTGAACGCCCTAATCTCAAGAATCTCGTCGTGGTGGCCCGGAGGTTTAAAACGCCTGCTTCTCATACATAAGGGTGCGGGTTCGAAACCAACGGCATGTACTAATGTGACTTTTTCCGAGTTATATGTACTTTCTAAGATTATTTAGACACCACTAACAAACGGTGAAGGAAAACATCGTGAGGAAACCTGGGCTTATAATTTCTAATTTTATAATTAGATGTTTGTAATCACCAACCCGCATTGAGCAAGCGTTATGATTAATGCTCAAACCTTCTGCGTCTGAGAAGAGGCTCTGCTCAGCAGTGGGTATTTATAGGCTGTTGATGATGATGATGATGATTCTCAGAAAATACTAGTTGGTTTTGTAAAATTCATTTGGTATTGGATAGTCCGTTTGTCGAGAAAGCCTGTAGGCTATAAAACATTACGCTACGATTAATAAGAGCCGAGCAGCGGGTGAAACAGCGCGGCAGAAGCTAGGCATTTAAATAATTTTGAACGTGTTTGATGGGTGAACGAACTGTTTCACATTTTAATATTATTTGACATGTATTGTGTGCATTGTTCGCGATACCCCGTCTTTTACATATGAATAACATATATTTTGTTCAGTATACCTACTTGGTAATATATATATAGGTATGAGTTATTTTCTACATAGGACAGAGTTATAAGTAGTAATTGATCATATCATTTAGAATGATATTATTACATTACTAATATAACATTTTTACCATATTTAAGTAAATAATAGATTTATATGTAATATGTCATTTTAATGTGACAATTCAATTTCAGTCCGTAAACCCAACACCGGATCCATACGGACCTTGTTTCAATCACAGTAATTGACAACAACAAGCTCAGAACTTCACATTAATGGCTCTAAACCTATCTAGTTTAGTGAAGTCATTTCAGATGAACATTACATGGCACAAGAGGCGGTCATTCGTGTAACATTTAATTAACTAAGTAGCCTCTAACGTGGCTGGACGGTCATCATAGCCCGATCTAACCGTTGAATAAGTAAATGTAATAAAATAAATCCACTAAGCCGCTATAACGCCCAGGATTTAACATGGCTTACTAACGCTTTCAAAGCTGTGAAAGACCCTCCCATATGCCTACGATCACCCTCCAACACGTAAGCGTCACAATTTCTGACATCGTCTACTTGTAAAGAGGCAATTTATTTCTTTTGTTTTTCTTGCTGTACTTTGCCACAGCTGCAATGAAAACTTTTTCTAATATTTTAACAGTATGCTTGTTTAGTAATTTCGATAATAAATTTAATGTAAGCCCTCTCGATATTTGATTGAATTTCATTGATTATTCTAATGTATTTGATTAATAAAATGTAACGCCATTTTGCTGATGAAAATTATGCGCAAACAGAGCTGCGTGTGATATAACTTTAATTAATTATAATGTTATTATTAATACTTAATGTGTTGAATGGTTCTAAATAGAATCGATAATTCATGTTTAATGAAAAACATTAGCCATATTATGATTGCAAATACAAAGATTTATCAAAATAAATAAATGTTATTTCATTGTTTGTTTCAATACTCGTGTGTTAATGACTTCTATGTAATGAGTACCTACTTATACTTATTTCATCGTTTATCACTACCAGGTTGCTGACTTAATAACTTAAGATAGTTACATAATTATGCTGATTACTTTCTATGCTGAAATGTGGGCTCATAATAACTACTGCTACCATCATTAGTATGGAAGGTCGAGGGACTTATAACGCTTACACGGTCAAATTTCAGTTCGTCACCGTCTGCCCCCAAGCCCTGATGTTCGTCTGCAAGCACTTATTATTCATTTTAAAAATAAAGTACCTATCATTATTCATCCGATAGCGGTCGAGTCTTTAACATAACGTAAGCCGACTAACCTTTTTTATATTTTACCTACGGACTTACCTAGTAATCTTTATTTGAGATAAGTACTTATTGAATAGCTGCTCGGCTCCAAACGATAATATGCTTTGCTTTGAAATAAAGTCAATTTACTAAACGAACTGATAAGTACTCGTTTTGTATGTATAAAGTGTTCCAAATTGCTATATTGAATTACGTAAATAAGTCATCTCGTTATAATGTTCTTTAGACACGAAAAACATCATGTTCCTACCTGTTGCTGTTTTTATATATTTTTCTTGGTGTTGTTCAACCAACTTCCTAAATTAAAAAGAATATTTTAACAACAGAAATTCAAAAATATTTTTCAGTTTTATATACCTTCAACTGTAACCGGAGTTGCTTCATAACTTTTTATTTGTTACTGAACTTGTTCATTTAATTTTGCTTTAAATTTAATTACTATCAATATTAAAATTATGTGATGTGACAAAATATATTTTATCTAAAACTTATGATATAGTCAAGTCTAACCTAAAACCTATTGTAAGTTCCTCGTACCTCAAGATTAAGACGCTGGCGTACTGGATATTAATATTAATGAGTGGGGAAAGCGGGATACGTTATACAA